GATGTTTGTCAGCCAAAATAACCCAATTGCTGTGCTGGAGCGTGTACAGTCACAGGGTTTGTATAACCAGCTAGAGTCTGCTAAATAGACAAAAAGGTTGTCTGGTCCCTGCTGCCCTCTGTAGAGTCTGCTAAATAGACAAAACAAAAAGGTTGTCTGGTCCCTGCTGCCCTCTGGAAAGGCAGGAGGTCAACAAGCAAGAGGTTCTTGGTGGTGTTAGTCCTCCCTGGAGAGTTTTTCTTGCAAGTGATAGGTCAGCCAGAGACAGATCCATGGTGCTTAAATCCCTCTGACCTCAGTGGTACCTGAGTGCCTGCGGGTACTGGAGATCTCAGGCTGTGTGCTGGTGTCTGCTCTGCAAAGGCAGAGCTGTGGTTCAGGTGAGTACATGCATCTGGCAGTGTCAGCCACTGGTCCAGAGCTGCCCAGCATCCTGCTGCAGCCCTTGCTGGGGCTGGCAGAGAGACCTGGTGTGGAGACATGTCCTCTTGGGTTGCTGGTGGTGTTGGAAGAGACAGAGTGGCTGGTCCAGCTGCGTAAGCGAAGGTCAGTCTGGTGCAGATGGTGTGTTGTGACGAGCAGAGCGCACCTACACCTGTGTGTCTGCAGATCTCCCACCTGTTTTAAGTTTTGATTTGTAACACTAAGGTTCTTTTTTTCTTTTTTCTTTTTTTTTTTCTTCAAGAAGGAGGATTTAATCTCTAAACCCTCTTGGTATCTTCCCTAGAGTGCTCGTGGTGTCAGAGTAGCTCACCCACAGGATGCGGTTTGAGGGAAGAGAGAGGGGCAAGGGTCAGGCTGAGAAAAGGATCTTGGCAGTTAGCAAGAAGCAGAGAGGAAGATCTGGGCTTCCTGTGCTCCAGGCAGCTCCCCCAGGCCTGCCTGCAGGCTCAGCCTTTTCATCTCGCTGCCCTTCATGCTGCCCTTCAGTGGGACAGCTTCCCAAATATGGGCTTGCTGACTTTCTGACCAAAATAGCGACTGCGTGACAAAATGCAGCACGGTGGAACGTAACCTTAATCCAGACATCATTGTGTAGCAAGAGACGGGAATTTTGTGAGCTTCCACAACAGCTCGGTGTCAGGTTTGTTGTCTGTTCCCTGCGCTCATGGTGGTCCCACAAGACACTACTCAGATATCAGTTGATCACCTATTGTGCTTTTTAATTCTGTGACAGCTCAGTCCACAACTTCCCTCCTTGTCGTAGAGGTTTCTCCAGCCCAGAAGGAAAAGCTGCAAAGGGGAGTGTGTGCTGACATGGCCTCGTGGTGGATCTTCATCCTCTCACTTGCCTTGTGAAATCGTTTCAGTTCAGTTGGTCAAGTGAGGCTGAAGATCCTTTTTGGAAAGGATTACGTATACAGAGCCCAGGAGATGGAACTAGCAGCTGTGGCCCACTTGAAACTATTCCCATTATGCAGAGCTCTGTCATCTTTGATATTTAAAAACTTCAGAACTCTTGTGATTAAGTCTTTGGTATCCTGCAGGAAGCCAGTGAGCCTGAGAGCTGCTGCTCAGCTCCTGCTGTACATCAGGTTATGTATGTTGTGCTGGCTGCTGCTGTATGTCATACTTGCTGCAGATGATTTCTCCCCTTTGCAATTAAGAGGACTCGGTATCAAGTTCCAGTTTGGCTCCTTATTTTCTGTTTGATTTTTTTTTAAAAAAAGGCGGGGGGGGAGCAAAGGGCACATAACCAAATACTGAATCAGCTCATTTGGCAAAGGTGAGCCATCGTGCTGAAAGCCAAGAGCACAGGACTGGGGAGGAGCAATCCAAGCACTGCAGAATGCTCTGATGGGGTAGAGTATTCCTTGGGGACGTTGATGTTTGCAGTGAAAATGGAAAAGTAGGGCTAGATATGTCTCTGTCCCCCTTTACTACATTTCAGTAGTGTGCTCGAGCAAAAAGCAGTGAGCAGAGCATGAGTTCTGCTTTGCCCAAGTTTCACAGCTGTTGCAGGTGTTTCTACACGACAGGGGCTTTGGTGCAGTGCAATGTTTATCTGATGGACCTTATTGCGGCTGTCCTGGTGGCAGATGTATGACTATAGGCGAGATGCAGAGGTTTTATTGGAGAGGTGTGTACAAAATGTCCTCAGATCTTCCTGCAGTCACTTAATACACACAGCACGGTTTTATTGAGAGCTGAAGAGAGGCCTCAAATATGCAGGAAAAGCTCTAAACCAGGGAAGGAATTAAATCTTCTGCCAGCAAAAGCAAGCAGGGGAAACAGCCTGAGAACTGTAGCTGCGTCTGGTGGCACAGGCTGCTGTCACCTGCCAGCGCAGCTCCTGTCCCAGCTGGGAGGTTAAGAGTGCACAGATCTGGGGACTGTTTTAGAGCGTGGTAAATGGCTTTTTACTTGTTTAAAAAAAAAAAGGGGGATGGTTTCAATAACTTTTTTAAAACTATTTTTATTTTTTCAAGCAGTTCTTGAGGATGTGTCACGTTCCTTAAAGGCACTAAAACTTCACTGCACTTGCAGGGAAAACTGCAAATTGACTTGGAGTTGCATAGGTAGAAGAATTCTGTGTGGTTTTCATTCATTGTTAGCGCATCTCCAGGCACATCCCCTCTGTGGAGGCTTAAACCAGTCTGACCCTGTACTGGTTACTGGTTTTTTGGAAGTCTAACCCATATGCTGGCCTGTCATGAGACATTACATTCCTAATGCAGTTGTTCCCGTGTTTTAGCCAACAGTGAAATCCCACCCAGTGGCATTTGCTGTCGTAACTCTGGGAGAACAGTAGGTGTGTTCAGACAAATCGATCTTGCAGCAGTTTTCCTGACTTCATGCAGAGCACGCTGACCTGCTGGCACCTCTGTCTAAGGATTAAAAAAGCCCAAATAGTCCTCAGTGTGTCTGCATTTCTAGAGACAAGTTTCAGCTGCTACAAGAGCTTGGTCCTCTCTCCAGCCACCACCTTCCTCGTTTTTACTCTTGGAAAAGCGTGGACAGCGAGCGCGATCCTGGCTCGCTGCTGCCTGTGCCATTGAACTAAGGGGGGAGAACTGAGACACATGGTTGGGTGGCTCTTGTCAGCCATCCTTTTCCCCTGAGGAAAGCGAGTGTCCAAGCCTTCCACAAGCCATCAAGTTGGCTGAAGGGAGGGGGTTAAGCTGGAAAAGTTCCTTATTTCTTTTCTTCAGTCTTTACTGAGCTAAAGCCTATCAATAAGCAGTGGTGAATATCTTGGAGATGTTCTTGTTGGATATTGGGATCTGGTTGGGACAGAGAAAAATAATGGGGCTGTGGGTGTTGCCCGCTGAGATGTGAGCGTGTGGGTATGAGTTGCCTGTGGACTGGATGGACATGGTTGTGGGGAGAGCTGGTGTCACCTTGGCTCATTGGTGGCCCAGGTGTTTGCACCTCTGTGGAGGTTTCTAGGCCTGGGGTAAAACATTTCAGCTGTGTCCTCAGAAGCAGGTCTAAGTGGGACTCAGGAAACAGCTTCTGTTGCTGTGCTGCGGAGGTGGAAAATGATTATTTTTTATCTCTGTGCTATGGATTCATTGGAGACAGAAGATGGTAGCAAGCAGCAGTGGTTCCTGCCATGGTGTTCAACCAAATGCCAGTGCACCCGCAGTCCCGCTGCATCAGGAGGAGCCATGGCATGGAGGGCTTGAGACCCTTGCAGGCACCCCTCTGAGCTGGTCTTTCAGATGTTTGCATTAGGGGTGTTCTCAAAATATTGTGGGTTTTAAGGAAAATCAAGTGCTCTAGCTGACAGGGGATAATTTCCTTGGTTTCTCTGATGTCAGAAGCCCAAGATGGTCGGGCAAAATATTTGGTGCCCATCATCCAGAGGAAAGACACAGTTGTGTCCTTCCAAACAACTAACAACCCCTCTCCTGTGCCCGCTTTCACCTCAAGCCCATTCAGTGTGAATTACAGTATTTCAGTGCTGCTACAAATGGGAGATTGTGTCACATCAGCTACAGCTTCTCGGGGTCTTATTTCCACAGAGGGCAAAAAACCCCCTGTGATTTGGGGAGGAAAGGCAGGATGGTGCAGTGGGCACAGGGTCACTGGCATGGTGGCACGCTTGCCCAGGGCTGAGAGCAGCACTGACAGAGCTTGCACCGCCGTGGTCTCGCGCCTTGCCCTGCCAATGTTTATTTTGCTTGGGTAAATGTTTGATTTTAGCAACACGACTGCAATGTGTGAGCTGTGCTGGGGCTGTCATTCGATGGGAGGAGGCAGCTATGTGCAGGGAGAGCTGCTAATGCTGCAAAAAAAAAAGGAATGCCACGCTTCCTTGGGAAGAGAGAAGATGGTGCCCTGGGCCCTTGGAGACAGCACAGCTCATCCTCCTTGGCCCTGCTGTAACCCTGCACCTGTGGCCCAAAGCAGGATTGTGCCTTGCTCAGGGTCCCTGTGGCTCAAGTGGACCTGATTTCTGAGGGAAAATCTGGTGTTTCGGTTACTGCAGCAAGGTTCACACCCAGGGCTGCTGGAGGACCATGAGGTGCTGCAGGGCTGCTGCTGCCTGCCTCCCACCTGGCTGGGCAGGATGGGAAGGAGGCACCCAGTCCAGCTTAGGAATGGCTTTTATTCATGTTTCCGAAGAAAACAGAGGTCTTCTTTCTGCATGTGCCGCAGGGTGGCTGTCAGGATGGTGGGGTGGAGGGAGGGGTGTCCCTTCAGCACAACTCGGGGAGGAGAGGGGGTGTCCCTCACCCAGGGATTTTGGTGCGTGATGGCATGAGTGATTGTTAATTCCCTTTTTGTCGCTACAATGCTGCTGATGCTCCAGTTAAACCAGCAGGTACCAGTGCCAGCTCTTGCTGCCCTCACCATGGTGGGGGCTTGGAGATGCAACATGGCAGCTCCCCGGCAAGCACCTGTGTCCCTGTTGACCAGGGATTGCTCCCAGGATAGTGGCAAAATGCCTCCTTGGAGGCTTTAAGCTCCAGCTGCAGTGTCACCTTCCCAGACATGGCTCACAGGTGCTCAACACAGCCCTGAGGAGTGGCCCACATAAGTCATGAGTACATGACCGGGGTGAAGCTCTCACTAAACCTCCAAGGAATGACCATCTGAGGCAGTTGGTCTTAACACGTTTTATTTTCCCGATGGCCACCCTTCTCAGTGCTCAGTCTTCATGCCGGTAGCCAGGGGACTTAGCCAAGGAGATGAGAAGCAGGGCTGGAGGGGTTTACAAGATTCAGGCTGTCGATCTGGCTTCAGATTTATTCAACTCCCTTCATAAACTCCAGGAACTCTGCCAAGGGGAAGACATCAGAGACAAGGGGTGTAAGATGAGACCAAAAT